TACGTATGTCTGTACATCTGTATATAAACAAATGCCACCGTGCCCTTGTTGAATCTGCGAGGGCTGAAACCGAGGGAGAATACCATAAGAACGATCGCTTCTGTGCCAGATCGAACCAGAACACTATAATCAGTCTCATTTCTGGGTCTCCGAAAACTGAAGGCTGAAATTTGACCAGAACGCGAGAATGTCGATTATGTACAGCCGACTGCCCGGTGAGACGCCTCCCCTCAGCCTCCCCTGTCAAGATTCGGGCGTAAGGAAATCGAGCCAGAACAGTATATAGTGAGTCTCTATGGGCCAAGTCGATGTCGAATTGTACATAGTGAGTCTCGTTTCTGGATCTGCGAGAACTACAGCCGAGCCGTAGCACCATATTGAGCATCATATCTTAACCAACTCGAGCCAAAATACTATGAGTCTCATATCTGGATCTGCCCGAAGGCTGACATCTAATCGAAACCGATAAAGGGTCGATTGTGAACAGCCGCCGGACCAGTGGGACGCCTCCCCTTAGCCTCCCTCGTGGAGATTCTGGCGGGAGGAAATCGAGCCAGAACGCAATAGTGAGTCTCAGTCTCATTTCTAGGCCACGTCGAGCCAGAACAGAATGTAGTGAGCCTCGCTTCTGAATCTGGGAGGGCCGAACATCAAACCGAAACTGCGTGGCGACTGAACGAGAGCGAGCCGAAACAAAGAGCTTCTGAACCAAAGCGAGCCAAAACAAAGCCGAGTCACACTTCTGGACCCAGGTGGGCAAGAGCCCCGCGACGAGCGCTGCTGGGCCGCTCTGTGGGGCGGCTCGCCGGGCCTCTGGGAGACGCCGCCCCCCCCCCCCCCCTGGGCCCCTCCCTGCGGAGAGTCTGGTGAAAGAGAGATCCTGAGCATTTTCTCAGGGTTGAGGGCTCAGGGTGAAATCCAGATGGGTTCTTGCACCTCGAAGTTGAATCCGTCCTGTGATTCACCTTTCGCAAATTCAAACCTCGGAAACCAGCCGAAACGGCATTTCAAATTTCACCCTTTGCCCTCCACCCAAAGAAGATGCTCGGAAATCTTTAGCGAAGTGCTATGAAGGAGTCGCGTGTTTGGCTTGGGTGAGTGACAAGGTTTCGTGTGCTCACCTTCTCGAGCTTGCGTCAGCCCATCCTGGTCCAAGGAGCATCCAAAATGGCCCCCAGACGGCCCAAGGGGCCCCAAAGATGGCACAAGAGGCTCTCAAAATGGCCGAAGAAGTCTCCAAGATGGCCCCAAGACGGCCCAAAGGATGCTCCGACACGGCCCAAGCAAACCTCCAAGACGACCCTTCAGGGCTCCAATAAGGCCCCAAGACGGCCTGGAGAGCCGTCAAGATGGACTCCGACGGTGCCGCAGGCAGCTGGATAGGCAATAGCCATCTACTTATAGGTGAACAGATACATGGACTAACCAAGTATGCCAAAAGTCCGAGATCCATAATACAACGACTGAGCATGAGGATCTCGACGCGCAACGGCGGCACGCAACGCCACGCCGCGCCACGCCTCCTCCTCCCTTCGGCAGGCTCAAAATCCGCCGACCCTGTCGGCGTGTGGAATGGGTTGTTCTTCTAGTCCGTGCCTCCTTCCCTTTCCCACTCCTCCTCCTCCTCCTCCTCCTCCTTCATCTCTTCCTCCTGCGTAGAGTAAATTGACTCGAAGCGTTTCCCCTTCCCTTTGTTCCCTTCCCCGGCCGGGGGGGGGGGGGTCCCGGGGGAAGCCCCGGGGGGTCCCGGGGGGGGGTCCCGGGGGGGTCCCTGGGGGGGGTCCCCGGTCAGAATACCACTTCCCTCCTCCTTGGGGGTTCCAGGGGAAACCCGGTGAGGGTCCTGGGGGGGGTCCCGCGGGGGGGGGTCCCGCGGGGGGGGAGGGGGGGGGTCCTGGGGGGGGGTCCCGGGTCAGAATACCACCTCCCTCCTCCTCCTCCTCCTGAGCGTCGTTTGCCACCTTCTCCATCTCCTTTTCGTTTGTCTCCTCCTCCTCCTCCTCCTCCTCCTCCTCCTCCTCCTCCTCCTCCTCCTCCTCCTCCTCCTCCTCCTCACACACTTCCTCCGCCTACCCTGTCACGTTGTCCTTTAGCTCCTTCCTGTGATCACACATCCCGTCGCCATCGACGGCCAAAACCTTCAGGGTCGGCGGCACCGGCCGATAGGCCTTCACAATAAATACAGAGAAGCTGGTGCGAAGCTCAGCAGCACATGCTGTCCAACATCGGCAGCGGCCGCTATTCGGCATGCGACTCTTCACCTCAAATGGTCAGCGTTCGCGGCGACACCGCCAGCGAGTCCTGCTCAACAACTGCAAGACTTGATATCGGGCTTCGTCCACCCTCTTTCGATCGCACCGATCCCACCTCCCCGTTTCTAGAGGCCTCCCAAATATGGTGCGAGTAGATGGGGTCAGAGAAATACGCCGCACTGCCGATAAATCGTCGATACATCGGCGATGCAGCGGCGACGTCGGCGTGGGGAAAATCTGGCCACACATCGAAACATATCGCCGATGCATCGGCGATGTGGGGCGATCCTCCGACCCCATCAACTCGGATCCAATCGGGGAAACCTAAACTCTTGCGATCGTTCCAATCCCTCCTACCCGCTTTTCGATCGTACTGTACCGATCCATTGCACCGTTGATACGGCGGGTTCGTTCATACGCTCGGGTGATGACTCCCTGGAATGTGACCTCCTGGTGGGGCCTCCATCTTATACCACATCATGTTATAATATGCGATGATATGATATAATGTAGAAGGATGACTCGTTGTCCCATTGATAGTGCGACATAGGAACGGCCATTCGTGTCGCGACCCGCCTGCGACCTACCTCCCCCACCCCATCCACGACCCACCACGCGACCCACACTCCGCCACAAAAGCGCGTGAGTCGAGGAGGCCGCCGACCCTTGCCGAGTCCCAGGCGTGTCAGCGTGCTTGTCCATGTGGCCCCATCCACGGGGTCCCACCGTTAGGATCCCACCCGTCTCACACATAGGGTCTCCGCACAGACAAGGTCGCATACGTCGGTAAGGTCACAAGGTCCAGTCCACGAGGGCCCCTCTATAAGGTCCCATCCATGAGGTCCGAAGGGCCCCACGCATAGGGCAAAGCCCATAAGATGCGCGTGCGTTCGCACGCTGTTTAAACAAATCACGCGAGCGTCTGATATTTTCTACTCTAAGCTGGCCTGACATTTCTTGCTCCTGGTAGCCCCTGGACGGTGACATTTTTGTTCGCTTTCGGGGATTGCGAAAAAGTGCTGATCCTTCTTGGTCTGATGTTTCAAAACCCTACAGGCCAAACCCCTATGGTTTCTTCTGGGCCCTAAGGCCAAACCCAGGACCATTCCTGGAGGGCTCCAAGCCCCCAGGGCCCCTCCTAGGGCCCCTCCAGGGGCCACTGCTGGAGGGCCAAACCCCTTGGGCCCCTGTTAGGGCCCCTCCTAGGCTCCAAACCACTGGGGCCCCTCCTGGAGTGCCAATTCATTATGCTATATTCTGGTCTACTCTAGCATACTACAATCTATTATAAAGGTTTTCAGAATGTCGGGATGTCTCGGGCCACATCCCCAAGAAGAATTTGACCCCCTGGGCCTGGCTAGCAAGAAAGAAGAACTCTCGCCGGAAGATTGATCCCCAACTCCGCTCGATACATTCTCGCCGCCGGGAAAAACTTTACCCCCTGAGCTGTGGCCACCGGAAAAATTAGACCCCATGATTTCCCGCACGGGAAAAATAGAACCCATGTGAAGTGCTTAAAGCCTAACAGAACTAATGATTGCGAGCCCATGCTGCGATTCACAATTCGAACGAGAACGCCGTTTTGAAGCTCTTGGAGCCCCACAAATGCGGTTGGGTATGGTGTTTTGGTATTCGGCAAGCAGTCAAAACGCGGCTGAGAATGTTTTGCACGCGTCCTACCATAATGGCAACATGTATTTCATTTCCCACAAAATCATCCCAAAATATCATAAACACGTACAATAACCATATATCTCCCTCCCCCCCTGCCGGGCGGATTGAAGGATGATTGAGGAGAAGGTCAGGAGGAACATCGGCGGGGAGTAGGAGAAGGCGAGGTGAGCAACAATAGATGATCCACACAAAGCAATCTGACCCACCCGCGCCGCGACCCACCCACCGGGACGACTACAACAAGGGACACGAAATTCCGCTATGACTCCTCACGTTGGTTATACTATAGCATGCTATACCGATGTGGGTCAAACCATTACCATCTACTATACTGTGATATAATTATGACCTAGACCAGAGAAAATACTAGACCATGATATATTGTTATGCTGTGACTTAATACACTAAATTACAATGTGGCATAATGATGGTATAATATGCCAAGATCAGGGGGTCAAAAACCAGAGGGTCATCACCAGAGCGTACGATTCGCGTCGTGACGACCTGCGCGTTTGTTTATGACACCACGTGGATCGTTCCACCTTGCGCCATCGGCGGATTTTCGATCGCCAGATCGTTCCATATTTGGCCGACACTGGGCCGCTGGCGGCGCTCAACCCTGAACATCCGCGGCGGGGTCGCCGACACGTCAACTATCGCAAATACCCAGCCCTGAAAACCCGCGCGCGAGATGCGGGGGGGGGACCCAAAGCACCCTGAACGCAGCACCTTCAACGGCCGCGTGAAGCCACCGCGCAGCGCGCGGGACGAATAACCCCGTGCGAGGCGGGGACTTATCCATATCCACCTCCTGGGAACCGACGTCCTGGTGCCCCAGCGGGCGGTGGATACGGATATATGTTGGCCCCCGGGGGCCCGAATATATCCGGATCCACCGCCTGCCGAGGTCCCCGAAACTTGACCCTCCAGGCGGTGGTCCTGTACAAATCCCCGCCTCGGGGGCACCCTGACGAGAAGCACATGGCCTCCAGGTGCTCGCCCCCCCTGCACCGTGCCCGCTCCGATCGCTGCGATCCTGCCCCCCTCGCAACCGCAACTCGCGGGCGGGCGGGCCTTCTTCCTCCTTCGGCCCGCGTGAGGCTCCGCCGCAGCCCGGGGCACGCCCACCGGGGAGGGCTCGGGCGAGGGCTGGGCGGGAGGCTCCGGCACCTCCGGCGCAGCGGGCAGGCCGGCTCGTCACCCTGACGATCAAACCCTGTGCAGCACCACCCCTGGAGGTGAAGGGGCCCAGGGCGACACAAACAAATTGGCACGAATCCCAGGATACCCTATCTTTTTATTTTTTTCCTGGATGGTCCTCTTGCCCTCTTTCTAAACTGCCCCTATTGTCTTTGGAAACTGGTTGTTGTTGGTCCTCCTGACCCTGCTGGTTTCGATGGAGCCCCCACGGGGCCGCGGAACGCGCGAGCGGCGTGCCGAAGTGGTCGGGCTTGGACGCCGCGCAGCGCCGTTCCCCAGGGCATGGGGATGGGCACAGGGGTTAACAAGCGAGGAAGAACAGACATGCATTGAGGCAGCGTGGATTAGCGACAAGTCCCGTTTCCATAACTACAAATTCGGCGCGCTGCGTCGCCAGGTTGAGGCGGCACTGGCTTCATTTGTTTCGGGGGGTACCTTCCCCAATCCATGGATCTGCCGCCTGGGCGCCAACTCCACTGATCCCGAATCCATGTCAGCACTTGCGCGGAGGACCATGGAAACTAACCAAAAACTATGGCCCCCCCGCACCGTAAGAACACATGAAAGCAACTGCGCTCTCTTTGTGTTTTTGGTTTCTGGGGCCCTCACCAGAACCCCGCAACCCTGTCAAATAATTGCTTAGGATGAGAAGTCGGCCCTGGTCAAGGGGCCAATGCCTGCATGAGTCCACATTGCAAGATCTCGACGTCGGGGGTCTGGGTCGTCATGACTTGTCATCGTCATCCTCGTATCCACGTTCGCTTTCATCAACATGCTTGCCTCCATTTTCACCTGCTGTCGCCTGCGCCCTCGCCATCCCTGTCACGACAATCGCTATCGCCACCACTGAACGGCCCGTTCGCTCAAATATTTGGTTCGGTTGCTTACGTACTCCTAGATGGAACTTAGATCCCATGGTCGATCCTGCACCATCTCAGCCATACCTATGGTCTTCATATCCTGACGTATGTATTTCGCATGTTTCAATGCAGTCCGCAGTCATGCCTATTATGATTAGAGCTAAGTTCCGAAGTGGTCAAGTGAGGATCTGATAACCGGCGCGAAAACGTCTAAGCCGACTTCTGGTCTCAGTTCGTTAAGTTGGCGAAACAAGTTAACTTAGTAGTTTGCTAATTAAGGTCGCGGAGCCAGGCTAAGTAGGTTAGGCGCGCAACATCTCCCATTAGTATGTCAATATGTTAAACGTATTCGGCTGTGTTTCAATGTTTGTTTTGCTTGCGTCGCCAATGGTTTGGGATGTGTTGTTTGGCTGGGCCCTAACGACTCTGACGTGTTATTGTGTTTGTTTGTATCGCGGTGTCCGCGATATCGAATTTAGCCGAGGCGCGCGTCGCATGTGCCTCGCTCGCACTCTCCATGTCGCCGAACTCACATTCCCCCCTCCTCGCTGTCACCATCTGTCTGCGTTTCCGCAGCCTCTCTCTTAACGCGGCTCGCCGCCGCACTTTCCGCGGCCTCGACCCGCCCCTTCGGGCGCCGGCAAGCTTGCGCGGAGTTCAGCGAGCGGCATTCGCGGAGAAGGCGGCCAGGGAGGCGCCGCGGGTCAGCGCGGCCATCGCGCCGCACCTCGACGACGGGAAGGTGGGCGACATCCTGGCCGAGGGCGACGGCGTCGTGAAACACTTGTTGGAAGCGGGGTCCGCGCGCAGGCTTCGCCCTCGCCCTGGGGTCGCCGGCGCGCGCGCAGACAGTCGATTGGCATCGGGCCTTGGCCCTGCAGACGCGCGCGGGGTCGTCGAGAAAGTCGCGGCCCGCGAATGGCCCGACAGCGCAGGGTCGGGCGCCCGAGCGCCCGAGCTTTCGACGCTGCGATGACGGGGGGGGGGGGCGAGGCGCAGCGGGCGCTCCGCGCCCAGCTGGCCAGCGCCAGCAGCGGGGCCATCCCGCCGCGCGCGACGGGGGGCGCCCGCATTCCCGCAGTAGCCTCTTCTCATGACATGGCCTCGCGCAGGCGCCTGCGGTCGGGAGGGGGGCGCGCCGCCGAGCCCCGGCGGGCTCGAGGCGGTCGCTCGATCAGAAAAAAAACTTGCCGAAATGCGCGTCGCCGAGAAGGGGGCGCCCGTCGCGCGGGCCCGCGCAGCGCGACGGCCTCGAGATCTCGGTCGCGCGCCGGGAGGTAGGAGGCGCGCCCGCGCTTCCCCGCCCATTCTTGCAAGGGGCGGGCAGCGCAGAGCGCGGCGGCGAGAACGGACTCACTAAACTGCGCGCCGCGCTGGAGATGCACGGCAAGGCTCGCCGCGACAACGGGGTGCACGGCAGCGAAAACCAGGGCAACGTCGCCGAGCTGGCGAGGGGCAACAACAATGCAAAGCGAACTTCTTCGCGACGTCCGCTGGCGGCATATGTTATCATGCGCATTCAAGCGTCGTGTAGTTTACTCGCCGTTATTCGCCCCCTCCCTTCGCCCCCGCCAATTCCACCGCCTTTCAATGCTGGCCTCTCGCCCGCTGCGGTTACGTGTTGCTCTTGCAGAGATCGCGCGCCGCAAGTTCAAGCGACTGGCGCGCCGCTAACTGAAATCCAGACTTGTGCCGAAAAGCATCTCCACAACGCGTTCTGCGCGCCCACGCGCAGACTGGAAGGGCCTCGCGCATATCCTCATACAAATTCCCGTGACGGCACACGTATATGCATATGCAAGTGTATACTTACGTGTACAATTATACATTTGTATAACTACTCATATGTGAATGCGCGCATAAACGCGGACGCACCTACATACATGCATGCGTAAACTCAGTCACGCACGCATGCATCCATGCACTTTATGTGCGCACACATAGCATGCACATGCATGTCGTGCACATTCTGCACTTGCACAAGAACGCAGCACCTACTTGCTCATACAAGCGCCTCAGAGCATAAGAGGCTGGGCACATCGCCGCTCGCGAGATGTCCCCGACAAGCCGCCGCGAGATATATTTGCATTGGCTCTCGAGACAGTGCCCCTGGCGCTACATTTTCGACGCAGCGTAACGCGGTGGGCTATGCCCCAGAATGCGCCCGCAGGTGGAGACTGGATCCAAGCGCCTGCACGGGCCTTGTCGCGACCTCTACCACCGCGTGGAGAAATCCTCGGGGGCGAGCCCGAGCCGGCGCCCCTGGGCCTGGCCAGGCGGTGCTAGGCCCTGCTGACGAGGAGGTTTTTCAGACCGCGCAGTTTTGCATTCTGCCGGTTGCGAACCTTGCCTGTCGGCCTGAGTGCGTCGCGGCGCGCGCGAAGGCGCGACGGCGTTCCTTCGCGAGGGGGGGCGTGATCGTCGACGCGGCAAACGCCGCGAACGCGACCGACCACTTGATGCAATATATTACGCGGGCTGTCGAAATCTCGCGGGCGCGCCCCAGGTGGGCGGCGGGCTGCGGCGCGCCCGTGGACGGTCCCGAGCTGACATTGGCGATCGGTTTTACGGACATCCATATCGGGCACTATGCGCGCGGCGAGAAATTTAAAGGGCGCTCGCGGCGCGCGTCTTGGGAGGAGATCGGCGGCGCGCTGGCCAGGCAAACGCAGGGCGACTCCACTGTGGAGACGGGCGCCCCGCAAGCGCCCCAGGAGCCGCTCGCGGCGATCGCTTCCACCCCGGGCGCGGGCGGCGCCGCGTCCGCGCCCCCGCGCGAACGCAGCGCGGACGGGGCGATCGCGGCGGACACGCCGGGCAGGCTGGGGTTTTGCGACATGGCCGCTCGCCCCCCGATCGATGGCTGGGACGGCGATGTCCGCGAAGTTCAGCGCGTGACCGGCGCGGGGGTGGAAGAAGAATGCGGGGCGGAAGGAGAAGGTCGACCGCTCCACTGTCATGGGCAAGAATGCGTTGAAACCCAAGGAAGCAGAACCAGTGCGCGTGTCTACAGGCATCATTCCTGCCGGCGATGCGCGTCGAAACCGCGGGCAAATGCGCGGGGTCCGCGGCGCGCGTTGACTTGCGCGAGGCTCGAGCGGATAAGCGCGTCGCCTGCGACGGCGACGCCGCCGGGCCGGCGCAGGACAAGCGCGCGACGCAGGCCGCGCAGAAAGATAGCGATGCCCCTGCAAAGCTCGACCCGTGGCCGCGGCCTCTTTTTTGCCGCGATCCGGCGGAAGACGCGCTCGGTGCGCCGGCCGCGGTGCTGCGCTTCTGGGGTCGGCCGTGCGCCGTTCCAGGGGGCGGCTCTCTGCCCTGGGTCACCTCCGTCGGGGGTCTGAGTCGCGCGCCTGGCGCAAGTTGCCGCGCCGCTGGCCCAAGCGTCTTCAGACGCGCCAGATGCGCAATAGGCGGGGGCTTCGGCGGCAGCGGCGGCGCCGCCGTGGACGGGGCGCCGAGGGGGAGAGCGCGGCCCCGCCGACGGCGCCGGGGGAATTCGCGCACGAGGTGCTCCTCGGAATCGCGGTCGCCGCATATGACGCGCGCCCCATCAGGGCCCAATGGCGCGCCGCGGCGGCCTGAACCCGCGTCGCCGGTCCTGGACCCCCCGCCCCTTCGCCCCCGCCCTCGCCGATGCCCCCGAAGCCAGCGACAATATTTCGGATGTCTCTATCAGACGCGTCGGCCAGGACGGCGCGCTCGCCTTTGCTCTCGAGCGCGAAAGATACCCGTGCCCTTACCCAGACGGGGTGGCAAGGGGCCTTCGGGGCATCACCCCCCCTGGGTCCGGGTCGGCTCCCGAAACCACCATGCATGCCCGTGCCTAGACGGGGTGACCCAACCACCACCCCAGCTAGGTCCGGGTATGTATGGTTGTTTCGGGCACCGACCCGTACCCAGACGAGGTGGCGGCAAGGCCGAAAACGCTCTAGCGGGCGGCCCTTTTCACCCCAGCTGACCCCGGGTCCGGGTATGTTTTGGGCTAGTGATTTGCCGCGGCCGTCGGCTCTACGCACGATGACCCGCTGGCCACGGCGCGCGAACTTGCAGCGATCGAAGCTGCGCCATGGTGAGCTGGCGCGTTCGTAGGCCCGCCAGAGGCGCGCGCCGCGTCGCTCCGCTGGAGCGTCGCGCAGCTCGGGGTCGTTGGCCGCGCTGCTGGCGGTGTCGGAGTCCGCGCCCGAGTCGGCGCCTGCTGCGCACCGCCTGCGCCGAGGACGCCGCGCCGGGGCCGGCGGCGGCCGCAGCTGCAGGCGGGCCTGGCGCCGCCCCCAGGGCAGCGGGCCCCGTCCATCCCAGCTCGATCTGGCTGTAGTGACATTGGCACTCTGAGCATGCGCAGTACGAGGTAGCTGGGCCTCTTGTGGCCGATCAGGGATGGGCCAGCCTGCTGCGCCCTGTTGCAGAAGGTGACAAACCTGGCGATGAGGTGGTCGATACGCTCTCTTGCGTCCATCTGGCGAAGTCTATCCGGGCCGATGCAGCTTGGGCGCGCGCCTCCTCGCCCAGCTGGCCCCGCCATTCGGCCAGGCTGCGCGTTGCGGAGGTCATGGGCAGCATTGGGTTGCTGTTGGCATGGTCTCCCTGGTCCACGGCAGCAGGCGGCCGCCCGTCCACGTGCTCGCGCGCCGCGCCAGTCAAGCGAGACGGGGCGCTGGCTGCTTAGCGGACCTCGTTGAAATCAGAATTCGCCACTGACCGGATCATGACCTCCAGCGCCCAGCGTCGGAAAGGCGCGCGAGATTGCTGCTCGGGCCCCCAGGTGCGGCGGCTTCGCGCGTCGCCGCCACCGACGCCGCCAGCTTCCACGCAGGCGATGCAGCTGGCGGCAACGACCATGCCCCCTGGGTATGCTCTTCCTCGTCAGCGCATGGGGCATGCTATTCCGTCGCATGGTTGGGGCGCGATCGACATTCGGATCATCCCGCAACATTGTCGCGGGGATAATCGTCGTGCGTCTCGTTGTCGCTGTACTGGGCACCGCCATCTATACTATGGTCAAGAAGAATGCGCATTCGGATCCAGGTCTGTCCGGTAGAAGGCAGGGCCCCTGCGACTTAGTCGCAGGAAACTCGAGACCCGTGGCCAACATCGAATACGTGAACGTTGCGTCAAAGACCCGTCGGGCCTGGGCAAAATGCGCCGACGGAGGCGGCGCGGGGCCGCGCGGTCCTTGTAATTTGTGTTTTCGTAACGGTACATGTGCGTTTCCCCCATAAGCGTTTCTGGCGGCTGGGCGGGTTCCGCCGTGACGGTCCCTCAAGAGCCGTCGCTTGCCGCGATGAACGAATAACAAAAACGAGCACGATGAACCGGTGGGCACGGCGAACACGGGGCCTTTGACTAACACGTTGGACTGTGGGCACCGTTGCCTTCGAAACAACGCGACGACATAATGCCATGCAGGTCATGGCGGCGAGTGGAAGGGAGCCGAAGCTCCGCTACCAACCAGGAGTAACATATTAAGATCGGATGTAATGCATTTCAATACGCAAAATGCGGGATGAAAGGTCTAAAACGAATATAATACGAGCACGGGAGAAGCTCCTTGGGCCACAACAGGCGGCGGGATCACAAACAGATAACAGGCAGATCTACCATTCGAGTCGGAGTGACAGGATGATGATGATGACGATGATGATGATGATGATGATGACGATGATGATGATGATGAGGAGGAGGAGGAGCAGGATGATGAGGAGGAGGAGGAGGAGGGGGAGGAGGAGGGAGGAGTGAGGAGGGAGGAGGAGGAGGAGGGAGGAGAAGGAGGAGAAGGACGCCGAGGACGAGGGGCGGAGGAGAAAGATAACGTCGAGGATGGCAGGGAGGCTGAGGAGGGAGGGAGGGGCGGACCAGGAGGGGAGATTAGGCGGGGGAAGCTCTCGCGAGCTCTAGTTTCACTTGGCTACTCGCAAGAGTGACCCTAAGCCAAAGCGACCTTTGGTGCGCGGTTTTATGGGTCCGCGGGGAGGCCCAATCCAAGGCGCGTGCGCAGGTGCCGCGGGGACAACTGTGACAGGAGAGCCCATAATCTGATTGA